GGATTGCTGTATCTAATTTTTTATGAAGCTAATGAATTTCTGTTATAAAAAAAAAAGAAAAAGTGAGTGAGAAAAATTGAAGGAAATTGATTTGTTTACAATTGAAGAAATTGGAATTAGATTAACAAACAGTAGTAGTGGGTTTGAAACTGAATTCGGTGTGGTTCAAGTTAATGAAGAAGAAGCTAGATTAGGATGTTCTGGAAGATAAGGAAGGCAGGAGGAATGGTCATAAAGATCCTGAAACAGGGAAAAGGGTGGAAGTAAGGACAATAATGGTAGAGGAGAGGTCCCAGGTTCAGCATGTTCCAAAGTGATAAAGGAAGTAGTGTTTTTGTTTTTTTTTTCTTTTCTTTTTGTTCTTGGCTGTTTCCCCCTCAGGTTGCTGGGTATTTGGCATAAGTTGAGAATTTCTCTCTTTGTTTTTTCTTGAAGTGGGGTTGGTTTTTGTGAAGTTTGTTATTTGGAAGATTGTTTTTTGAAGACTTAGGTGCTTCATTTTGGTAGTTTGTTGGCTCTTTCAGTGATCAGAATAAGGAATAAGGTGAGGCCACTGTTACAATGACAAAGGAATAAGGAAAAGTCACTATCACTTTTTTTTTAATAACCAATGATTTTATTAAAGCAAATGAAAATGTATAAGTTACATCCCTCCCCACCTCTTGCATGGCTAATACATCTACCATACTGTAAAGACTATTAGAACAGACCAACAGAAAGCAGTTAATCAGTTTTACAAGAGGAGGCCACATTAGCACAACTAATCGTCCACTTGCAACAGCTGTAACAAAAAGAATTCAAAGACTGTAAACAGTATAAGTAGTGAAGCACAAAGAGAAATAAGACAGTAATTCTTTTGGCATTACTCTCTTTCTCTCTCTCTCTCTCTCTCCTTCCAACGAATTCAGGAGGTTGGCTCCCTCGAAGAGCCCTGAGTTAGGCAGGTTCCTAACAAGTTGGTATCAGAGCTAGCATGACCAACACAAGAAACACGTCAGTAGACACCCGAGTGGATCAGATGGAGGTAGAGATCCATCGAATGTCTTCAGATCTCAAAGAAATGAAGGAAGGTTTCACTACTCTCCTCAATCGGCTGGAGTAGGTGGCAACGAACAACGACAGAGGAAGCCAAGAAGAGCGCAACAATGAAAACAACCGCAGAACAGGGCCGACGGAAACGAGAGCAGCCAAAATCGATTTCCCCATCTTCTCAGGCGGCGACCCAACTCCCTGGATTCTCAGAGCCGAATGGTACTTCGATTACCATGAGACACTTGGGCAAGACAGAGTAGCTCTGGCTTCTGCGCATCTTGAAGGGGAAGCTATCCTCTGGTTTCAATGGTATCGACGGGGGCACCCTCGTCAAACTTGGGCTGACTTCACTGATGCCATGACTATCCGTTTTGGATCGTTTGGGTTCGAAGATCATGATGAGAGTTTGGCAAAGCTACGACAGGTGGGATCAGTTAAAGATTACCAGATGGAGTTCGAAAAGCTGGCCGTGAGAGTCCAAGGGTGGACGGAGAAGGCGTTGGTGGGAATCTTCGTTGGCGGCCTAAAAGAAGATCTGCGACTGGAAGTGAAGGCGATGCCGCCCACTTCGGTCATAAATGCAGCAACACTAGCAAGATTGTACGAGGATAAGTTCGCTTGAGCAAGAAAGGTGCAACGGCCATGGGGTCCAGGAACTAGGACGACAACACCAGACAAGGAGGAAGGAATACTGGGCCCAGGCCCATTGGTTCCTTTCAAACGGCTGACCTGGGCAAAGATGCAAGCTCACAGAGATAAAGGACTCTATTACAATTGCGAAGAGAAATTCGGGCCGGGCCATCGATGCAAGAAACAACAAGCATTTCTCCTCCAAACAGAATCCGAAGAGGAAGACGACCTCACCGGTTGCAGGGAATCTAACCTAGGGTGGGAAATACAACCCAATGGCACACCTGAAATATCTCTACAAGCCCTTATAGGACTTGCGTCCCCTCAAACAATGAGAGTTGCAGGGCTAATCCAGGGACGACAAGTGTCAATCCTCATAGACAATGGTAGTTCCCTTAACTTCATAACTCAAGTCTTGGTGGATAAAATGGGACTCCCAGTTCAACCAACAACGGATTTTACAGTTCATGTGGCCAACGATAATAGCCTATCTTGCAATAGCATTTGCATGGGCTTACCACTAAAGGTTCAGGATCACCAATTTGCGGTGGACCTATATCCTCTTCATCTCAGTGGAGCGGACGTGGTGCTAGGCATTCAATGGTTAAGATAGCTAGGGCCCGTGATCTATGATTGGGCCTGTCTCACCATGGACTTCACATCAGGGAACTCTACAGTCCATCTACAAGGGCAAACATGCAAGGGTCCAAGGCCCATCAGTCTTGCAACATTAACAAAGCAAATAGAAGATCCGGATCAGCCCATATTCATGCACATGGACTCAAATTGGACCAGCCCATCTTTAGCTAACAGCAGCCCAAATGGGCCTAGAGACTTCCAAAGCCGCCTGCAACAACTTCTTCAGCAATATGGCAGCATGTTTGAAGAACCCCAAGAACTTCCACCACGTCGGGAGCATGACCACCGCATCCCCCTCATGCCGGGAGCTGCCCCAACCAATGTAAGACCCTACCAATACCCTTACTTTCAAAAATTTGAAATTGAGAAGCAAGTTCAAGATATGCTTAAGCAAGGGATAATACAGCCCAATCATAGCCCATTCTCTTCACCAGTATTATTAGTCAAAAAGAAGGATGGGACGTGGTGATTTTGTATTGATTACAGAGCCCTTAACAATATCACCATTAAAGACCGATTTCCAATACCGGTCATTGATGAGTTGCTTGATGAACTCCGGGAAATTGTGCGCCTACACGGGCTCCCCAGCTCAATTGTATCAGACAGGGACCCTATTTTTATGAGTCGTTTCTGGGCTGAGCTTTTTTGCCTCCACGAGGTTAAACTCTTCAAGTCAACTATCTACCACCCCCAATCTGATGGATAGACAGAGGCGGTTAACAAGAGTCTCGAAACATATCTGAGGTGCTTCGCGGGAGACCGACCAAGACAATGGGTGAAGTGGATCCACTGGGCTGAATGGTGGTACAACACCACTTTCCATAGCGCCGCTGGGATGACACCCTTTAGAGCTCTATATGGTCGGGAGCCTCCCCCTCTACTTCCTTATGAAAAAGGGACCACCATAGTAGCGGCCTTAGAAGAACAGCTGACGCAACTAGATGAGGTGTTAAAGGAACTGAGACATCATCTCTTACCGGCACAACAATGGATGAAGCACACCTATGATAAACATCACAAGAATGTCCAATATGAAGTCGGTGATTGGGTGTTTCTCAAATTACAACCTTTCAGACAGATTTTAGTTGCAAGCCGACAGTGGAACAAACTCAGCCCGCGCTATTTTGGACCATTTAAAATCCTTGAGAGAATAGGGTCAGCGGCCTACAAGGTGGACCTTCCGACAACATCAAAACTGCACCCTGTATTCCATATCTCCTTACTGAAGAAAGGGCCGAAGCCAGGAGTCATTACAAGTGCGACCCTTCCCACATTTTCAGAAGGACAAGTGCAGACTGAGCCAGCCCGCATCATTGATTTCAGATGGGTGCGCCGGGGTGGAAGAGTCATACCAGAAGCATTAGTTGTTTGGTTTAAACTCCCAGAAGAGGATGCAACCTGGGAATCCTACTTAGATCTGCAATCAAATTTTCCCACATTAGACCTTGAGGGCAAGGTTGCTCTAAAGGAGGGGGGGATTGTAAAGACTACTGAAACAGACCAACAGAAAGCAGTTAATTAGTTTTACAAGAGGAGGCCACATCAGCACAACTAATTGTCCACTTGCAACAGCTGTAACAGAAAGAAATCAAAGATTGTTAACAGTATAAGTAGTGAAGCACAAAGAGAAATAAGACAATAATTCTTTCGGCATAATCTCTCTCTCTCTCTCTCTCTCTCTCTCTCTCTCTCTCTCTCTCCTTCCAATGAATTCAGGAGGTTGGCTCCCTCGAAGTGCCCTAAGTTAGGTAGGTTCCTAACACATACTGTTAGCTGTCCTCTGAACCCATTGGAATCTGACTTCCATTTCTTTAGTCATAAAGACTTTTTTACCTTGTTTCTATACTGCCAAAGAGATGCTTCCTCATTTTGTAGCCACTCCATCACTAGCTTTGAATCCCCCTCAATAATTAGTTTGTTGACATTCATCCTTCTTGCCCTTTGTACCCCTTCCATAACATCCATGAACTCTGCCCTTAGAGAATACCCCACTCCAATCGGTCCTGAAAATAGTGCCACCATAAGTCCCTCTTTCATACCTAAAGATGCCTCCAATCCCTGAAGGGCCTGGATTTCCCCTATTTCTGCCATCAAAGTTGAGCTTGATAAACCTTTCAATTGGGGGAGTGTAGCTTTTGCAAATCAATGTATTTTTTTTATAGTCCCCACCACTTCTCTCCATTTTGTTATGATGCCATCTACCAAAATGGTTGAGAAGCTTTCCAAAGATTTAGTCCAATGAGACACTGTAATGGGGATGCATTCAATTATTGCTTCTAAGATTCTTTCTTCCTTGTTGATGATTCGAGCATTTCTTTCCTCCCATATTATCCAAATTGTTGCAATGCTAGTACTTTTCCACATAATCCTCCCCCTCTTCTTTAGCCAGCTGAAAACTGAAGGTGCAAAATGATTTGACACACTAGAAGGAATCGTCCACCTGCAAAGAAGGCAATGAAATGATCCTATATGCAGGGGTTCAGAAGAGATGAATAGGATGCTTTTAGAGCTATGTGCAAGGGAATATTTCCTTTCTTCTATTGTATTATTTAAGAGTGGTAGATGCTGAATCATCTGTAGATTTCGGCTTTGGTGATCATCAAGATGCTATGAATTTGGCATATGCACTTCTTTATATGATTCCTTTTTTGACTTTAGATATCCACTTATCTTGTTTGTACCTTTTTTTGTTGTTGTAGGTCAAACCTGAAGTAATCAGTTGGTCACCACGAATAATTGTTCTTCACAATTTTTTGAGTATGGAGGTATGAGCAATTTCTGTGCTTTTAGTTATTCTTGATGTGTTTAGTCATATTTGATGGGTTTCTTGTGTTTTTCAAACACATGTTCTACTAAAATGTGGAAGAGGTATCCACATATTTGATGGACTTTAGATATCCACTTATTTTCTTGCTTGTTGGATTGGGTGATGGCTTACCAAGAATCATAGTTTTCAAGGTACCAAGGCGAGGCTAGGCGATAGGGGGGCACCTAGTAGCCTAGTCGCCTAGGCGTCGATGAATTTTTTTATGTAGAAGACATAGATCCTAGGGTAGTTCTCTAGGTACCATAATCATATTTCCTTAATATTTATTCATAATTTTCATAAGAAAAGTATAGAGTTGATGTTAAAGTAAAGAAAATCAACATATTAATGAGAAGAAGAAAAAGAAGGAAAAGAACATTAAAAAAATATAAGGGCTGAACCCTTATTTTTGTTATAGGAATAGAAGAAAAAAAAGTAGTAGTAGAAAATGTGTTGATTAGACAAAATTTTAAGTTCTTCCTTGGTTCAGGTTTTAAAGTCTTTGATGGTTCAATACCGCATTTAGCAATGTATGTATTGATTAAACCCTAAGAAATAAGAAAATAATAAAAAAAATTAGTATATAAACACACAAAATGAATATTTTAGTTTAATAGTGCCTATTTTATAATTATTGTTAGTGTTGAGTATGTAGGAGTATTTCTGTCTTTATACTTAATGTTGAGGTTGCTGATGTGCAATATTATGTTAGAACTAGTGTTCTTCACTTAAGTAGGGGCACATGTGTCTTTTCCATTGTGTTAGTAATATAAAACATATCTGGCCGAATGGGAGAGGTAATTTTTTCTCTCATTCGAACCAGACTTTTCTTCTCCTTTTCTCTCTCTCTCTCTCTTTCTTTCTTCTTTCTTCTCCTCTCTTCTTGGCTGTTATCAGACTAACAGAACTCAAGGGCAGGCCGAATTATAATAATGTCAAAAAATAAAGAATAAAAAAGTATTTTATAATACATAGTACAAAACTGCTTGGCGAGCCTCAAAGGGCACCTTGTCACCTAGGCATCGCCTTGACAACTATGCCAAGAATTTGAGGATGTTAAAAGAATCAACTTGGATAGTGATGGAATACAGAGTTCAGGTATGAACTGTGGCTTGTGTGGGCTCCTGCCTGAGACAGTGGACCATCTTAGTTAGTATTCACTGTTCTATCTCTGCTAGAATTTGGGAACTTTTCCTCAAGGCTGCTGGTATAAACTGGGTTCCGCCTGATGAAGGATTTTTTTTGCTGCTGGAAACTGCCTGGACTGAAGAAAAAGGGGAAACTGATCTGGAAAACAATTCCTGCAGCTGTATTAGTGTCTTTTTGGTCAGAGAGAAATAATCAAATTTTCTGTAACGAAGTGAGAAATCCAGAGGACCTAATACAGCTTATAGTGAATAAACTTGTTTCTTGGCTATCTGTAAACCCAGAGTTTAAGCATCAGAATGTATTGCTGCTTTGCTCTCAATCTATATGGGATTTGTAAGCTGTCCTTTTTCCTGGTGCACCGGGAAGCTGTTGTAATATTTTCCTCTATTATCAATAAAATCTCTTACTTTACCTTTGATAAAAAACAAAAGTATTGATTGAATTTTCAAACTAAACTTGGTTCAGATGTAGAGGTTGTTTAGTTTCTTTTTGTGTTTTTTTTTGTATGTTCTCTTTTTGTAGAAATTTTAAATTTTTTCTAAGGGTGTCCTCTTTTACTATTTGTAAAGCCTTTTCTTTTCATGAATTCTCTCTTTTACTTTTGTTACAAAATATAAAACAATTAAGGAGTGCTAGATTTATGGGTTCCTTTTACTGTATCCTTGAAATGGATAATACATTTCAGATATTATTTTGCTGTTCAAAATGCAAAGACATGCTTCTCAGGTGCTGTTCTCTTCTTCAAAAGGCGTAGTCTCACAGAATAATGTTATGATCCTTGCAGGAATGTGATTATCTCAGAGGAATTGCCCTTCCCCGCCTTCATATTTCAACTGTGGTGGACACAAAAACTGGGAAGGCATGTATCCTGTTATCTTCATAGCTAATGAGGTTAAAAGGGATTAAATAATTGGGAAAATCAGCAGAAACAGCAGTATAAAAACGATCCATGAATGAAAGAAACAAAACTGGAGTTTTTTGAAATTTGTGTCTATTTTTATATTTTAGACATTGAGGGTTGGTCATTTTGCATTTTATCTATGAGGTCTGGCCTAGTAGTTTGATTTGTTTAGTTATATTCTACTTGTGTTTAAAATTTCAGTCTTTGGTTTATTAATTTTGTTTTGTTATGATACTGGCAATTCTGTAAGTTTTTGTTTTTTTTTTCTTCTAGTTCTTATAGGATTTGTCACCCCAATGGTGTCTATATATACATGTAATGTGCAAAAACGTGGGTATGTTGAATAGGTGAAGTTCATTTGAGATCTTAAATGAGTTAAAGCTTATGCTATTTATGATTATTGATTTCCATGACCTAAATTGATTCTAGGTACCATGTTTAGTGGATATGGGGTTTCTCTCCTTTATTTTAAGAAGCCATTACATCTGCCAACAGCCACAAATTCTTCATCAAGGGCATTCATTGAACATTCTTAGAATATTAAAATTGAGCTAAGCGAGTTTTTCTACTATTTTCATCAAAAACCTAAAAATTCCCAGTCTAGCCTTTTTTTGTGCCAAACGATCTCTGATCCCCCCCTTACATCCTTTTTTTTTTCCTCCAAATATCATCCCAAAATTCCTCCTAGAACCCATGTGCGGTGATATGCTCCTCATAGTTTGTAGTTACGAAAATCTCTGTTTAGTCCTTGTTACAACTGTTTGTATTAAAACGGGCTACAGTTTCAAGGTTGTTGGATCTGTAGAAAGAACTAATTAAAGAAACATTTTTGAAGAAGTTTTGATGTTAATGTTTCGAAAAAAAAAAAAAAAACCTCCTAGAACCCTATATTAGTTTTCAAATTTTCATCCTTTTGTGGCTAATGTACTCTGAATCTGGCAGCTTGTTACCTGCTAAAGCTATCAATTCTGAGCCTACCAATGGAATTTCATTAAAAAATTCCTATCTTAGACCTATTTTCCCTATTTTGAAGTTTTTAACCCTTGTGATTAAACCCCTAGACCTTTTCTAACATAAGTTTTATGTGTTTTCTTTCCTAAATCACACCCCTAAACCCATCCTAACCACCTAAACTCATCCTTTGACCATTTAAGTCGTATATCAATTTGGTGTTAGAGTGGATGGTCCTATTAGTTAGTGTCAGAGCTATTGGTCCTACATCATTTTGGTATGAGAACTAATAGTTATTCACTATGTTTTCAGAGTGACTGAGTCTATAGTTTTAGGGTGTCTTCTAAACAATGTTATGTCTCTAATCAATAATAATCAGTTTATTGAACTGTATATCTAAGCTCTCTAGTTGAGTTTGAGAAGGTGGTGGAAGAAAATAGATCTAATAATGTTGACTACAGGGGTAAAGTTTTCAAGAATGTTTAAAGAGAAAGGGGCATACCAGATTTCGAGGGAGATAATGACTCACGGGTATTCTTTGATTGGGTTTCAGAATTGGAGGAATATTTTGATTGACAATATATTTGATAAAAAGAGTTTTAGATTTGCAAGTGCAAGGCTCACAGGACATGCTTAAAGAATGGTGCAGAACACTTGAGCAATGTCTGGAGAATAGAGGTGATGATCCTATTACTACATGGGAAGAGAGGAAGAGGCATTTGCAAGAAAAGTACATTCAACTGGACATTCAGGATGATCAATATGAGTTAACTAATCTCAAGCAAGAAGCATGATCTATAGTTCAATATATAGTTTGATGAAGTAACTATTAGATGCAACACTAAAGAGAGTGATAGAAGAAATTTAACTCCTCTCAAGAATGGGCTAAGGGCTGCAATCAAGAAAGAATTGGCTACTACCTAGAACAGATGGAAATTGTTGAAGAAGGTTCCAGGATTAATAATCAATTTGAGGTTGGGTCAATGATCAAGAAGATATAGTGGTGTAACAAATTGAAGAAATTCAGGTGTAAGGTACAAATGTGTTGGTATAGCAGAAAATCTTAGCAAGGAAATAAACCATAACTATTTTTCAATGAAAAAAAAAAAGAAATAAACCATAACTTTACAAGTTCAATTCGAGATTCTTTTTCTCTTTTAATTTTATGAGTTGATTCAAGAATTGCAAGCTGATACAACACAAGTTCCACCAACCATGGTTCGCAATTTTGATATTGATGGATATTCCCGCATGTAGAGATGGCGAAGTTTTAGAGATATTTTGCTAATATCACTAGATATTTAGAAAATCTAAAAAATCAGGAAAACTTTCTAGAAATATGGAATTAATTATTAAACCTTCAAGGAATCATTAGAATAAAAATAACTGCGCATTTAAGACTTGAAAGACCATATCAAAGAACTGCATAAATCAAATAGTAGAAAATTGAGAGACTATACTGGTTTCTTTCTCTTTCTCTCTATTTTAGTCTTTTGGCCATCTTCTCTTCATTAAATATGTCAATTACTTGTCATTTTGACTTTTGTTTTTTGTTTCTATATGTTTTGATTAATTTGAGAATATTCTTTTGTAGTTATATGCATTTTAGTTTTTCTTTTGAATTATAGTAACTTAGTGAATAGTATAAAAATAGTAAGCCAGTTATTGAATCATCATTTTTTTTTTTATAAATAACTTGAATTTTATTATTAAACTTTATGTCATATCTTTACAAGCAAGCATCCCATAGAGAGGCACGAGTTGCTACCTCTCATACAAAAAGAAAGACATACAAGTGTGCCCTGAATAGAATAGACCTGTTCACCCCTTGCTTAGCCAAAGCATCTGGCATCTGCCATCCCATTTTCTGATCCTCCTCACCCATCCTGATGTTAATATTCCTGGTTAGCCATGTAAATTTTTTCACTTCATTCCGATAGCACCAGATTATAGACTTTGGATTCTTTAGCCTTTCTACCACCATTTTTGAATCCCCTTAAATCACCACATTTGCCAAGTTTAGCTCACTAACTATCTGCACCCCTTGAATTGCAACAAGCAGTTCCGCTTTGAGCGAGTCACCCATACCTGCAGGGCCAAAAAATAGTGCTATAAGTTTACCTTCTCCATCTCACAATACCCTTCCTATTCTGGAAGTGCCTGGCTTACCTTGGTTTTTCCCATCAAAGTTCAGTTTAACAAATCCTTCAAATGGTGGTACCCAGACAACCTCCATTTCCACTCTGTCCTTTCTCTTAGAGATTTTAGCAACTACTTCCCAATTCCTCCAAATATCATCAAAAGAAAACGGGGAAAACACCTCCAGAGTCTTGATCCAATGGATCACCCTAACCATCACACAAGTCCTGATTTCTTCCTTGCTTCTCTCCTTCTCTTAGAAATCTTGCATTCCTCTCTTCCTAGATGGTCCAAATCAAGGCTGCTTTAACACATCTCCACATTATCCTCCTCTTCTTTGGCCAAGTAAGCAAGGCGTGATCAAATAACATATTAACCTCTGTTGGTAAAGTTCACCTGCATCCAATCAAAGAAATAAACCAAAGCCAAATATCAACTCTCATTACTAGATTTGCACAAGACACCAATTAAGAAAAAGATAGGACTTAGGTCTTCTATTTTTTAGCAAGTCCATAGTATTTTTCTTCCCGTGAATTACTTCCCAACAAAAGGCTCTTACTCTAGGTGGGATGGGTCTACATCAAAACTCTTTTAAGGGAAAGGAAGAAACTAAGGAGTCACAAAAGGTCTTGGACAAAGAAGCACAAGTAAACAAATCCTTAGGGTTGGGGGCCCAAATATGCTTGTTAGGTGATGGAATGAGAGATCCATCATATGGATGGCCGAACCCTGCAGGTAGGTTGGGCGAAATTTCAAAAATTTCTCTCTCCCATCTGGGAATCACTTTCCCTGTTTTAGAAAATCTGCATTTTCAAGGATCAATCTTGAACTAAGAACCGAACCAGATCTGAAACCAAAAGGTAGGAGAGGGTGATACCTGATATGAAGAAACAATATCCTCCAATGAAGGTATTCACGCCCAAAGAAAATCTCCAAAGACTGCTCCCATTGAAGATGACACAGTGTAGGGTGGAGCAGAATCAACAGTGTTCTTCCCAAGAACCGAACCCTTCAGCAAGGATTCGATGGAGGCTGTGAGCACGACTTCAGATTAGCCTTTCTCCAAAGGTTGATATCAAGAACTATTCTTGATCGCTTCTACAAAACAGGAGATCGAACTAGCAGGTGGCGGAAACTGGAGGAGAACGCAGGGAGAAGATGGCGCAGTCACACTGTTGCTGTCTTCTCTCTGTGTGATCTGAGATCTGATCTCTGGGATGAGATGTTTTTGAATGAACTGAAGGGTTCGCCCCCTCCTCCTTTTATAGATTTAAAGAGATCAGCTCCTAATCCTATTAGGGGTTTCCTGATTCAAACCCTTATTTGAATCTAGACTCTCTTTAAGTGATAAGGATGAATCCTTATGTTATCTGCAGATTAGATCAACTCTCTCCTAATCTTATTTGGAGGTTTCCAGATCCAAATCTCTATTTGGATCTAGACTCTCTGAGTGGATAGGGTAAGACCCTATCCTATCTGTTAATCCAAATCCCAGATCCGCCCCTCTTTAATTAGTCTCACTAAACCAGTTCGAAATGGGCTTTAGGCCCAATAAGTCTTATGTGCTCAGTGGCTTTCCAAACTGCTGCCCAGCTGGGCTTCTTTGTATGGCGTGGGAACCAAACCTTGATCTACACATCAGCCACATGGGTTCAGCCCAGCCTCTGTTACAAGGTTTGGCCGAATACATTGTTATGGATAGTTAACCCTCTGAGCCCATCTCATGGGCTCTTAATGGGCCCAACACTTACACTAAGTGGTCCCTGAGCCAAGCCACCTTATAAAAACCCAGGGACTGTCGGCAGATGCAAGATTAGCCCATCAGGTATTACCTTCAATGGTCTTACACTTAACCTCTCAGCCCATAA